TACTTCTAAAAGAGGAAGATGCACTTGGTGTAGCAAAGGGAAGTAGTAATTGGCATACATTTAATCAGAGAGCAATGCTCAGAATGTTGACAGCCATATATCTATGGTCGTTGCACGTTTTCACAAAATATTTATTCTTGTTTCTGTCTGTGTCTCTATTGATGTAGAGATATAGTATTGTATCCTTCAACATAAAATTCATGACATTATTCAATGTTTCAAGCGCATAACTCATATTTATCGGTTTATGATACGCGTCATTAAGAGGATAATTATCAGCAGAATTCGGAAATACGTGATATGTGTAAATCATGTGATTGGCCGATCTCCATCTGTGTGTTGATGGACCCTTTAGCATCCAACCAATGACAAGAAAAGAATAGGGAAATTCCAATAGATTTTTTCTATTTGATACGATGGTTTTCTCATTGACGTTGTATCATAGACCTTAGACGCTTTGAAACGGCCCCTTCACGTAGTATTACACAAATGTCTCTAAGAACAAACGAATTGGACGAGCTAAATTGCGAGACCTTTTACACAGAGAAGCGGCACAAAACTGCCGGTAACCCCAAGAGTAATGAGCCGGCAGTCCAAGATTGGAAAATGCGCGACCGGCTCAAGACAATCTCTGGGGCTCTTGTCTTATGCCTTAACATAGGCGTAGACCCACCTGACGTCGTAAAACCCAGCCCCTGCGCGAAACTCGAGTGTTGGGTGGATCCGTTCACTTTGCCGCCAACAAAAGCACTCGATGCGATCGGGAAGAATCTTCAGTCACAATACGAGCAGTTAAGCATGCGGACCAGATACAAGCAATATCTAGATCCTGCTGTAAACGAAGTACGGGATTTCTGCTTAAAGATAAGAAAGACTGCTAAAGAAGAAAGAGTATTGTTCCATTATAACGGTCATGGAGTACCTAAACCAACGACAAGTGGAGAAATTTGGGTGTTTAATAAGAACTTTACGCAATACATTCCCGTTTCTCTAGGAGATTTACAATCATGGCTAGGATCACCTTGTATATATGTATATGATTGCTCTGCGGCAGGGAATATCTTGAATAACTTTAATAAATTTGCTGAGCAGAAATATCGCGAATCACGGGGAGCCTCAGGTCCAAGTACTGTACCACCCTCACTTATGAACATCCAGCTGGCTGCCTGTGGACCCAACGAATCATTGCCACTACACCCAGAATTACCAGCCGATCTGTTCACATCATGTTTAACCTCCCCTATCGAAACCGCGTTACGATATTTTGTACTGCAACGAGCTCTTCCTTCCCCGGTTACCGTGGAAATGGTAATGAAGCTGCCAGGAAAATTACAAGATCGTAAGACTCCTCTGGGTGAACTAAACTGGATATTCACAGCGATCACAGACACAATTGCATGGAATGTACTTCGAGGTGATCTCTTCAAGCAGCTCTTTAGGCAGGATCTTATGGTTGCCGCGTTATTCAGAAACTTTTTACTCGCCGAAAGAATAATGCGACATTACCAGTGCAATCCAATGTCTTATCCAGAACTGCCCCCTACTCACGATCATTCTATGTGGGATGCATGGGATCTGGCAGTAGATGTATGTTTGCGACAATTACCAGTGTTGGTATCAGGAGAGAGTGAGTATCAGCACTCTACCTTTTTTGATGAGCAGTTGACTGCATTTGGCGTATGGTTGGAAAGAGGCTCCATTTATCAGAAACCCCCCCAGCAATTGCCTATTGTATTGCAGGTGTTGTTGAGTCAGGTGCATAGATCACGTGCATTAGGATTATTGAGCAAATTCTTGGATCTTGGACCATGGGCTGTGAATCTCGCATTATCTATCGGCATATTTCCATATGTGCTCAAGTTGCTCCAAAGTCCAGCAGCGGATTTGAAACCTCCTTTGGTGTTTATCTGGGCACGTATATTAGCTGTTGATGGATCGTGTCAGCAGGATCTTCTGAGGGATAATGGCTATAAATACTTCATTAACATACTTTCTCCAAGTAGTATATTAAATATACCTAACGAGGCTGAGCATCGAGCAATGTGTGCTTTTATTTTGGCAATGTTCTGTACTAATTTCAGCCAGGGTCAGATGGCTTGCAAATCTGAAAATGTTTTGAATACTTGTTTAGCTCGATATGCAGATGAAGATCCATTGTTACGCCAATGGGTGTGTTTATGCATCGGTCAATATTGGAAGGGATATCGGGACGCCAAGAGTGAAGGAATTGAAAATCAGGCTCATCAAAAATTATTCGAGTTGCTTAGTGATCCTGTACCTGAAGTCAGAGCAGCTGCACTGTATGCGTTGGGTACATTTATTGGAAATTTAGATCACACTGAGCAGATATTAAATATTCACCAGAACATTGCTATTACTACCTTAACTGCGAATAATGATGGTTCTCCAATGGTACGCAAAGAGCTTGTAATTACACTCTCGCGTGTCGTATCGACTTATATCGACGATTTTATTAGAGTTGCGGTTGATTTTGTGGAGAACGTGAGGAAACGCGCAAAGATGACGGGTATTGGTGGAATGCGAGGATCAAGTGCGCGTGATAATAGATCTGGTTCAGTCGACATGATAGTATGGCAGTCACTGTTGAATCTATCAAGAGATCCGGATCCAGGGGTAGCTCAACTAGCAGCAAGTGTCGTTGATTTTGTTCACGAGTTGGCCTTTAAACACAACGATCCAGGGCTTGTGTTAACAGTGAAGCAACTACTAGAAGCAAAGAGTGCATCTGAGAATGAAAGTCTACGTGATTACTTGAACAAGGCAATACCCGGACTAACTGTGACTGTGGATTTACCATTAAATTCGCAATTCTTTGAGTACAGTTGTGAATACTTCAGAGAAGCTCAGATGAGAGTGCGTAAGCATTTATAGAGTAATATTCGAGGAGCGCTTAACATATACGTATTTATCCACATAACCATTAATCTCTTATTCTTCTGGTATAGCCTGCAGAGGCAGATTTAGCAGGAAGTGTTTCCTATATGGAACGAACATGGCGTCATCAGCGAAACTTGAGAATAGTGAATGAATCTTTACCAATGAAACAAGTGGCCGGTGAGTAAATATATATGACATCCTTTTTTTTCATAGTGAGTCTTCATTATGACGTGTATTCCTTGTTTCTTTCTCATGATTTATTAGGTTCGAGTAAATGGAACAAACAAGTCGCCTTATTCAATCATGAGTCTGTGCCCATGAAATTATTATTTCATAATTACGAACCGCATTTAATTGTTGCTAATGATAAAGACTCAATCAGGTACTTGCCTATTTGATTTATGTGAATGTATTATTGCTGTCGCACGTTACTAACGTATGTTTATCATCACAATGATGTTTTCTCCAAACAGCGTATGGGATTGGCAGAACCATATTCGAGTAAATACATTTTCCAACTGTAACCCGCGTCATAGTAGCATATCAGCGCTCAACTTTATTAACGAGCATGATGTTTCAATGTTACTGGTCGGTTCAAGTGGGTATAGAGTGTGTTATGTTGTAAATACTATGAACGACACGAGTCCTTAAAAGCTGATCTTTCATAGATGATGGTACTGTTCGAATCTGGAGGGACTACACAAGCATACAGAGAACGACCGAATTAGTCACATCATGGAGAGCAATACCAGACTTGTTTTCCAGTAATCAACGAATAGGCATAGTTGCCGAATGGCAACAACGTGATGGATGTCTACTGGTTGGTGGTGACGTTCGAGTTATACGTGTGTGGGATGCTCCTCGTGAACTTAACGTAGCTGTAAGTAGAACGCTTTGAATGAGTATGGAATATTTGATGTTTTGATTCATTAAAAGTTTATTTTATTTTTTACAGGACATTCCCACTCGGACAGGTAGTGCAGTTACCAGTCTGACTAGTGATGGAGGACATCTTTTTGTCGCTGGCTTTGCAGACGGTGCCATAAGATTGTATGACCGTCGAGTGAGTCCAAACGATGCAATGACACTGGTTAACAAAGAGCATAAGAATTCTATAGTGAATGTTGTCTGGCAAAAAGGTTCTGTGCAAGAGCTAGTATCTGGGAGTAAATCTGGTGAGATAAAAGTATGGGATATTCGAACAAATTGGTCCAAGGTCTCGATCCCGGATAATAATCTGGCGCAAATGGCAGCAATGGACGTTCATCAACATACTAATGTCATTGCAAGGTTTGTTGTCTTGAAAAAGACTTTTGGTAATGCATTTTCATCAATGACTAACTAGCGTTTGTGTATCTACTGTAATAGTGCCTATTCCAACCAGACAATCAAGCTGTACAATACCGGTGGTCTTCATCTGTCAACAACAAAATATAACACTGGCTTTCTTGGTTGGGGTGCTCAAGTTACATGTTTGGCGTTAGCTGGGCATCACACTTACTTTGCGGCAGGAGCTACTGATTCGTATGTTTCATTATATGGAGTGAGCGGCAGCGGGCGTAATAGACTTGTAACGAATTAGTTTTGGGATTATGGATACATAATATTATATTCCCTTGTTTTATTTTATTTCCTGTGTACTATATATTCTATTTTTTGTTCATGTCCGAATTATATAGACAACGGAATGTTTATACACATTGTAAAAAATATCAAGTTATATATTGACAATGACTGATATTATCAATGCTTCAAAACTTCATCTCTTTATTGATAATGAATTATGTAATACATAATATATTTCTTTTTCACGCGAACTTGGCGGAATAGTTTATTTTCTTTTGGCCTGATTTGGCCCGAACAGCGTTTTGGCGTCAACTTAATTATCATTACAAGATTAATTTCATCCTTCGTTCCGAATTAACCTCTGCGATAAGCGATCGTACAAGAAATAAGTGGAAATTCTACCCAATTATACAAGTACGCATAAGACTACTATCTTTGTTGACTCTTATTGCCAAGTTTCTGGTTCTTTAGCAATAAACGATGGTTCACGCAATCAAGACGCATGTTGTTAGATCAATATGAACGGAGTGGTCACATCAATCTATTCTCAACCGATCCTCAAGTTCCTGTCTCGTTGTCTCAATCAACTTGTCTTCCTCTTCTTTAGACGCGTTATACCTTAATACATTATCTTGATTAAACGGATTCTCGGGAGATCTCTATCGAAAGATAATGAAAAAGTTTAATGCATATTCAAACGCCAACAAACTAATCGACAATAAACGCACTGACCTGGAAATTCTTGTACAGCATATCTCGTAATTGTGTACGTCGTAAGCCAGGATACTCTTTTCTGAGATTTGGCATTTCACGCTCCTCATAGGCAGCAAGAGCAGCCTAACGAATCACATAGCAAGATTCACAGTTAATAATCAGGCAAAAGTAACAAGGCCGCCTTATCAAAATAAAATACCTTAAAACGTCTCTCCGGATGCCGGTCTATAACAGTAGATGCAGCAAGACTGCTTCCAGACCCTGTTGAACTTCCAGCAGGAATCGAAGACTCTGTAGCTAGAGACAACAGATCTAAGGCATCATCAATGTTCGAGGCGGCGAATGTCGGAATTTCTCGTCTTTCGTTAGAAATAGTCTCTACTCTCTGCGCCCTTCTTGCTGCCATTTTCTATTTTAATAGATTCATATAATCAGTAAGCCTATGCATTAATTGACGGGGGAAAAAATATCAGGCAGCGATCTAAACATTCTCCACTCCTAACCTCCTCTCCAGAAACCCTCGTAGGCCTTAGTAAAGGTCTGTTCCTTGAAAGATCCTTTTCTTCCTGTTCCAACAATCTTGCCGCTTCCGCTTTCTTAGCTAGTTGAGTTTCCTGTTTACAAATCATGATCAGATAACAGCCCAAGAAATCAACAAGATTACTGCAAGCGAAAGCATACAATACCTTTTTGGCCCTTTCGAGATCTCTTTTCGACGTACCCTTCGAGCCTACTGCCCATTCCGCTGCCTCCTGGCGCTCCTTCTCTGCTGATCTCTTCGCATTTACTTCCGCCCGATGAGCAGCTTTTCGCTCGTTGGCTTTGGTAACTAATTGAAAATGCAAGAAATTGTTAACAACACGAATGGAAAATCGTTGTTCGGCAAAAGATCAAAGAAAGCTACCCCTAGTATTTTCCCCTTTGAATCTCTTCGGCATTGCTAGTACTAGCTTACAAAGAATGAATTTATGGGGGCGCAGTGGTATGTCATAAAGTCAACATATTTCACGTGATTGTGTTCAAGAATACAGGCAGAGTTTCAGTTGGGTACGACATTCTTTCAAAGAAAACAAAAAAAGAGGAGCTTTTTTGTTGCGATGATTTGACAGTGACATTTCTGCGTTGAAAAAGCATTTACACCTGACTGTTACACGAGATTGAAATCAGGAGATGTTACATTAATATTAATACTAATAATTAATATATTAACGCCAAAGTAACCTAAAATAGCAATATATTGTTAACGCATAAGCATGTGTTAAATCTCTAGTATTGTTCAGCACGCGTATTTGCAATTTTCGAACATTCCAGAATAAACCACAATTTTCGTACTACAAGTCTACTTTCACATTTTTATGCGCGTAGGCTCCATAAGATTGCATGTATTATGCGTGTTTTCGGTTCCGCCATTCAAATACCGACAACCATAAACATATTTAAAGACATTATCCCCAAACTCTTTAACCATTGCAATATTTTGCTCATTTGAAAATCAAAATCGTAAATACATAATCTCATCCCTCAATGCTAACACCACCACCGCTGCCGCCAAAACCGCCACCAAAAAAGGGTTCAACAAAAGGAGGTCCTCAGCTCCCCAACCTACGGACAGATTACAGATTTCCGACAACGTTATCCAGAACACAAAATCATCAGTGACATTAGTTCAGGGCTCAGGGGTTTTGTTACCCTTTTGGAACGAATATACCAATAATAGCGAATATGGAAAGCTCACAGAAGACCTTGCAATTGTCACAGTGTTTGTGGCGCGACATAATGGACTACGTTCGGCCGCAAATCGCAGAAGGAGAAGAGAAGCCGCCCAAGAGGTTCAAGAAGGAAGTGAATAAACCTTCAGCAGGCAAGGCCCGACGTATCCGCATTTATCCCAACCAGCAGGAGCGGCTGAAACTCAGTAAATGGATGGGAACAGCACGATGGACATACAATCGATGCCTTACCGCGGTCGAAAAAGAAAGCATCAAACGATCAAAGAAGGATCTACGCGCACGATGTCTCAATGCCACAAA